TGCTGAGTTCTTTGGCAACTTCTTGTGTAGTTGTAAGAGGATCAGTTTTGATGATTGCTTTCAATTTGTTGTTGTCAACTTCCAATGGCCAGCCACTATCTTCAAGGCTCTTGTCTCTTTTGCAAAACTTATTGAACTACCACTTCTCTGTACGTTTGTTAGTAGTTTCTGGGCCAAATGCATTGTAGATGTTGCAAGTTGTCTCTGCTGTTTTACAACCCATTTTGAACTCAAGAAAATCGCTCAAATTTGCTTTTTGTCTAACATCATTTCCATAGTCTAAAATAAATATAAAATAAACAGCAAGTAATAAGTCATTAGCAAAAAAATAATAAAATGAGAAATGTGCATTAAAATGGTGTATAGCATAAGCACATTTATTTAAGAATGTATTCCAATATCAAACAGTAAATTTCAACAATGCAAAAATTACAGTTACATTTGCACCATCCGAATACATGAGGTATACATGTTATTAAACTTCTGCTTGTTTTTCTCTTGTTAGTTTGCCTTTTATTACAGAAAGTACCAGCTAAGAAATATGAAGGGTGGAGGAGAAAGTTATTTTTCCTCTTCTATGCTTGTTATGCACTGAGTTTAATAATTTTGCCCATTATCTTAGGCATTTGTATTTTTCTTATAAATTTGCAATCTCTTTCTCAAGCTCATTAAATCTTATCTGTCATTTTTTTGCTGAATCTCCAACAATAACATGTAGAAGCAACTCAGGGTCATGAATATTCTGTTTATCTCTTCACAATCACCATAGTGGAAGCCTCCACTCAGAAACTGTTGTATGTAAGAACTCAGGCTCATAGTGCAAATATTAGACTGTACATTTTGTCTCCCCATTCTGAGACCCACAATTCATCCTAACTCCTTCCTCCAGCTGCTCTTGCTGTCACTTAGTTCCTTCCTACTACAAGTTCCTCCCTGTTTGTTATTCAACTCATTAATCCATATTTTATAGCAGTGTTCCTCATTATAATGTGATTTTTTTTCTTTTACAGTGAAGGTCTTGTTTCTATGGTGATACAAGAGAAAGTCTTTGCAGAGTCGTTGCAGCTGGAAGCCTTCACTTACTTTAAGAGCTCATTAAACCTAGTTGAGGTAAAGGGCAGGTGGAGATCCTGAAAGTGCCCAGCAGAGGTCGAAACTTTATAGCAAAGTTAAGAGTCAGTAGGAGCACACAAAGAATTCCTTTCTTGTCACTGTAATTACCTTGCATAGGCATGAATCTTTCCAAACCTATCTAACATCAACTTTACATAGTCATGATATTTTCCACATACAGCCTTAACATTTGGTCTGAGACAACTTTTTAGACAATTTAGACAACTTTTCAAACTACTGTTTCAAGGAAGCAGAGTATTATATGGCAGCTGCAGAATGTTAAAGGATGACTTGAGAGTTTTCTCTTCGTAAAAAAGAGAGAAAAAACTTTTCTTCATCTGAAAGGTAAACAGAGAGAGAAAAGTTCAGCAGCATAATTAATAAAGATGGTTCTACTGCAAAGTCAAGTAACCTCTCCTTTTTGTTTGCCTCTGTACACAATAAAACTGTTAAAGTATAATTTTCAAAAAATATAACATCGTGACTCTCATACAAATATAAAATGAATAGTTTTCAAAGTTTTATTCAACTCATTAATTAATGAGGGAACCAATAAGATGTTATAACTGATTCTAAGAGCATTTGAGAAGCTGGGTATTTACAGAAAATATTAGCATAAGATTGCTGGGTTACAAACTGGTTAAAGTCCAACAAGAAAACAAACCAGAACCTTTGGGATCATCTGTTGTATTAGACAGAAATTATTCACATCTCAAACAAAAACCAAACAATAACTTTTGCCCAAAGACAACAGAAAACTAAGCCCACTATGCTGGTAAATGCCCTGTCATTTCTTCTGCCTATTTCCAAGTTTAAAAAAAAATTTCTGACAGAGTAAAAATTGTTTGGTAATGGAGGAGGGTATAGTTGGCTCTGGAAACAAGGGAGTTAGGCAGGGTTCTTGGAGCCCATACCTCCTTCCTCCAGACCCGGGATGGGAAATGACTCTTCTAACAGCCTTCCAAACCTGGAGTGAGCTTCTCCTTACAGAACTGCAAAAAGGAAGAAATAGAAAAGAAAAAAAGGAGCAATAGGTCCAAAGTAAGCCCAAAACTCAACAAGGCAAACAATACCGTCTACACACTAAATAATGAGGCTTGAGAATAACCTTATTTGGCTCCATGTCTCTTATTTTAGGCACACTGGGGCAGGGGCTGTCCCCCAAGGCCCTGGGCAGCCCAGCCCCCTCTCACAGTCCTGGAGACTGGGAAGTCAAAGATTAAGGTGCCAGCAGAGTCTGTGTCTGGTGAGGGCTTGCTCTCTGTGTCTAAGTTGCTGCAACATCTGGAGGGGACAAATATTGTATCCTCATATGGCAGAAGGAATGGAAGGAAAGAGCTCTCTGGGTTTCCTGGGTACATTCCACACTGCAGCCCTCATGGGTTGTACTCTTCTGCCTTTTGGCTTTCACAGGCTGGAGTTGCATACTTGTGGTTCTACAGTCCTGGGGTCTTAAGGATAGCCTCACTCCCACCACTCCACCAGACATTGCCCTGTGGTGGCCCCACTCCTGTGGCAGTTCTCTGCCTGGGCTCTGAGGCTCTCTGGGGCATCCTTTGAAATCTAGGTGGAGGAATCCATGCCCCCCAGGTCTTGCGCTCTGTGTACCTGCATAGTTAGCAGCATGTGGAAACTACCAAGGTTTATTCCTGTGCCTTCTGGAGGGGCAGCCCAACACACCAACCCCACCTGAGCCAATCCAGGGCAGCCAAGGGATACTGCACCAGAAGGTGAGGAGCAGAAACTTGAGGCAGCCCCGGACAGAGTTTGGAGATCCCACAAGTTCCCTGGGCTTCTCCAGCACCATGCGCCCTTCCCTTGAAACCATTCTGCCCTCAAGGCTCTAGTACCCTGGCCCTGTGATAGGAATGGCAGCCTTTAAGATCTCCAAAATGCCTTCAGTGACATAATTCCATTATCTTGATGAATAGCAACTGGCTTCCTTCTCTTCATTCTAATCTCCTTATCAAAGGTTCACTTGAGCACACCATTTGGTGTTCTCTCCTGCATATACCTTTTATTTCCTTACAACCTACCCAGGCTAAGATTTTTCCAAGTCTTTAAGTTCTGTTTCCCTTTTAATTATAAATTCCATCTTTAATTCATTTCTCTCTCTTGCATTTTACTCTAAGAATTCAAGAGAAGCTATGCCGTACCCTCAACACTTTGCTTAGAGATTTCTTCCATTAAATATCCTAGTTCACATCTGCCTCCCACAGACTACTAGGACATGGACACTGCTCAGCCAAGTTATTTGCCAATTTGTAACAAGAATGGCCTTTCCTCCAATTTCCAATAAGATATTCCTCATTTTCATCTATGACCTCCTCGAAATGGTCTTTACTGTCCATATTCTGTTCACAACATTCTGTTCATGATCTCTTAATTTCTAAGAAGACTGAGGCTCTCCACAGCTCCCCTCTTCTGAGTCGTCATCCAAATAGCCCTTTATGGTTCAGCTTCTAGCCATTAACCAGTTCCAAAGCTGCTTTCACATTTTTAGGTATTTGTTACGGAAGTGGGTATTTGTTACACTATTTCCACTTCTTAGAGTTTAGGTATTCGTTACACTATCTCCACTTCTTGGAGATAGTGACAAGAGGCAGGGAAATTCTGGGCAGAAGAGAGTAAGTCCATGGCAAGGGCCCCACCCACAAGCTGAAAAGCTTAATACCACGGCCCAAAGTGAGAACTTTACATCCTGTTTTCCCACTAAATGTTGCCTTATCCAAAATCACCCATGGCCTGCCCCACCCCCTATCCTATTCCCATAAAATCTCCAGGCTCCACCAGCAGAGGGAGAAGAGAAGAGGAGAAGACGAGAAGCAGCTGGACATCAGAGACTATGGTTGGACATGGGAGAGAAGCAGCTTGACTTCAGAGGGACAGCCTGATGGCATTGCTTCAGAGAGGAGGTCAGTCAGGGACAGCTGGACTCTAGGGGAAGATTATCTTCCTGCACCATCCACTTTTCAGCTCCCCTTCCCACTGAAAGCCACTTACATCAGCAATAAAATTTCCCACATTTACCATGTCCAATTTGTTTGTGCGACCTCATTCCTCCTGGATACTGAATAAGAACTCAGGTGTCGGTGCAAAAGGCTGTCACACTGATTCTCCACTGAGCCGTTAACACTTAAACCATCTGCAAATGGCAAAGCTAAAAGAGAACTAACTGTAACACTCTTTCTAGGGCTTCAGGGGTAATGGGCACCTCCCTAGATGCTGCCGCGAGGCCACATGGAGTTTTGCTCCTGCTGGTGCCCAAAAGCCCTCACCCTGGTTCCTGCATCCATTCACCTGTGCTCCCCCTCCTGTGAGGGGTGGAACATAGAGGGACCAAGCAAGTAGAGTCCACCTTGCTGGCACCGAAGCAGCCAGCTATTTCTAGTGCCTATGCACTCCAGTTCTTGCCCACGAAAAAATCAGGGAAATTTCCTGCTTCATTGGTACCAATTTATGTCTTAGTCCATTCCTGCTGCTATCACAAAAGATCTTAGACTGGGTAATTTATAAACAATAGAAATTTATTATCTCACAGTTTTGGGAGCTGGGAAGCCCACTATCAGGGAGCCAGTGAATTTGCTGTCTGGTAAGGGCTTACTCTCTGTGTCCAAGTTGTTGCAACCTCTGGAAGGGACAAACACCATGTCCACACTTGACAGAAGGGATGGAAGGGAGGAACTCACGCCCTCAAACCCTTTTATAAAGGCATTAATCCCATTCCTGAGAGTGGAATCCTCATGGCCTAATCACCTCCTAAAGGTCCTGCCTCATAACACTGGGGACTAAGTTTCAACATGAATTCCTGAGGCATGCAAACATTCAAAACACAGCAACAGCCTTCACTTACGGTGTTGCGGGAAACTGAGGACCAGACAGACCAATATGAGAGTACAGGAGGATTGTTTATTTTAGGTACACACCAGCTCAGCAGACTCACATCCAAAAAGCTGAGCATTAAACAAAGACAGAGTCAGGTTTTTATAAGCAGACTTACAATAAATAAAACAAAAGCAGTTAACCATATGATAGGTCACATAATCTATGGCATAGCATAACTTGTGACCTTGCATAGCTGGTGGTCTTGTAGCTGCATTGAAAGAAAAACAACAGCTGGCCAAATACAGACATTTGTAAAACATAATCATGCTTAAGAAGCCTGGGAAAGGAGTAACAGTAAAATAATTTGTCTTTTCTTGTCCTTCAACCTTGCTCTGGAGGGGGGTGTCTGGAGTCCATTCCTTTGGCCTTGGCTTCTCACAGTGTTATCTTATAACTGTGCTTGAAGTGAGCTTGCTGCACTTTCCTCTGCTAGGCAGAGGAAAACTTGTGCTTTTCTTTTTAACCCTTGCCTTGCCTGTTACTTTTCTTAGAGTGAATGAATGCATATTTATTTTTAAATTTCTGCCTCAGTTCCCTCTTTGATGCCTTTTATAAAAGAAGTTTAATAGAAGGCATCACTATTACTTAGTTCTGCCTGAAAAGACAAGTTTTTTCTTTAGACAAGGTCTATATTTACACAGCGCCATTAGCTGAGTGGTAGTTTGCCTAGCTACTCTTGCCTCTATACTTGATTGAATGCTTCTAACAAGGAGAGGTAAGAGACAAGGGAGTATTAGGCAACTTCCTAGTATGGCCAGAGCCACTCCTATTAAAGTCTTGAACCCTAAGAAAAATAAAAACTAGGCTTCCAAAGAGAGAATCTGGAGACCACCCTTTCCAAGTTTTAACTGGAACATGGGCTTATTTTCTTATTCTTGCAGTTATTTCCATAATTTCCTTTCCATTATTATTCATTTCCAGGCAGCAATTTGTTAGATTGAACTTTCTACATACTCCTCCTTCTTGGGCTAGGAGGTAGTCTAAAGCTAATCTGTTCTGATAGATAGCATTCCTCATTTTTGTGGCTTGCTGGGCCAGATGGGTTTGGGTTCCCTTTTTGATAACATATATGAAGGTTACTGGGTATGTGTGTATATAGACATGTAAGGAGAAATCTGCAGTCCACCAACATTTTGGTAAGCATAATTGACTTTTGCTGTGTGCTAGGGTGCCATGATATGCAATACCAACAATGTTTCTCTGGGGTCCCAGGGGAACAAGGTGGAGTTACTCTTGGCATGCATACATATTTGTAGTTATTTCTATAGTATCTTTCCAAAGGTAGGTTACCACAGATGGGTGAGTCTTGGTATGCTACCTAACGAGCATCAAAATACAGAGAAATAAGCCCTTGGTAAAAGGGAGGGACCCTGGTTTGGTTTAAGAGGAGGCCTTCTTTTGACTGCACAAATTTCAAACCATTCACCAGGTGAAAACTTGGGGTCATAACACACATGAGGTTGGTTATTTCCTGGGTCACAAATTGAGTAGGTGGTCTGATTATAAGTACCAGTTCCTAAGTGAGTCCCTGTACACTCATAATAAGTATGGTACAATAGAGTTTTAGTTATACTGTTCCCTGACCAAGTAGTATGTGTACAGTGGGGACACCCTTCTATGGGTGATTCTTCTAGCGTGGTTAAGGGGGGTAACAACAGCAAAACAACGTACAGTATATTCATATCCAGCAAGGATAAAAGAAGTCCTTACCTGGGGAAAGAGGTTGAGCACAGCGACAGAACAATAGTAAAACAGTGTTACAGGAAAACTACTAGTCCCAAGATTTCTAACTACATTTACTTGCTTGACAAGTCCTCAAGCTTCAGCCATGCATAGACTAGTCAGCTTCTGGTGTGTGACTAGAGCAGGGCTTGTTGTTTCCTCAAGCTTCAGTCGTGTGTAGACTGGTCAGCCACTGGAGTGACCAGAGCAGGCCTGTCGTCCTCAGCAGCAACTCGGTCTCATCGCAGGATCAGCCGAGTCAAGGGGTCTGGGTCCTGCTGGCTGGTTCACTTGTCCTGAGCTGCTGGTTTCAACCAACTATGGTGGATCCAAGACACAACACCTGCAACTTTAACAGCAGTGGGAGCGGACAAGATTACCATATGGGGCCCATCCCACATGGGTCTTAGAGACGTTGGGTTCTACTTTTTAACCTAAACAGAGTTACCAGGTTTAAAGGGGTGTCAGGTTTATAGGCATGTTTTTCATGTACCTAGTTATGAACACTTTGCATGGCTATTTCTAAAGCCTGCGTTTGTTTTCTTAAAGTTAATTCACCTAGTTACTGGAGATCACCTTTTTGTTTGACTTATGGTTTGGGGTTGGCCCACCGAACAAAATCTCATAGGGTAAATACCCAGTTTGTTTGGTGGGGGTGCACCTGACTCAGAGGAGAACCACAGGCAAAACCTGATCCTATCTCAGATGAGTTTTCTGGCAACATTTCTTCAGTAGCTACTGGAGTGTCCGGTTCATGCATTCCACTTTTCCTGAACTTTGCGGCCGATAGGTTGTGTGTAACTTCCATTTTATTTTTAACAGTCTTGTTAAATCTTGCACTATTTCGGCTACAAATGCCAACCCACTGTCTGATTTTAAAGTCAGACGCAGTCCAAACCTGGGGATAATGTCTCTTAGCAGTACTTTAGTCACTTCTTGTGCTTCTTCTGTCATGGTGGATAAAGCCTCAATCCATCATGAAAAATGTGCAAATAAACACTAGCATATACCGATAGCCTCCAGTATGGGGCATTTCGGTAAAGTCTACAAGAAAGTTTACACAAGGCATGAAGGCATGGCTCCTTCTTCTGTTCAGCATCCCAGAGGCGGGATTCTTTTTCTCCCCGTTACCCAACCTTTGTAACTTTATGTAGTGGCTTAGCCATCAGTGAGAAATTTGGAATCCAGATATGGCAGAATCCTGCTGCCTTCAACTTCTAATGTGACCACTGGATCCTGGAGGCCTAATGAAAAGGAACCTGGTCTGTCCTAGTCCTCACATCCTTCAGTTCATGCCAGCCTGATCGGATCAGTATCTGGTTCCTCTAAGGTGCAGCAGCCCTTGGCCGATGACTTCCTTATACCACAGCATTTACCACTCTCTTTATTACCTTCTGGACATTCATCCTTCCATTGTCCTTTCTTTTTGCATCCTACACATTAATCTCTTTCTAGCCTTGTCTGACTCTTGAATCCCTGCCTAACTGGACCTCTTCCACATCCACCTTCGTGTCCACATCCTCTCACATTGCTAATCTCTCTTTCTATAGAAAGACTGCTGCCAACAGATTGACCTTTTTCTTAAGTCTTCAATCTGCTTCCTTTTTCCTTCTTGAGTTCTCCTGCTCCTATGGCCTGCGGGGCCAGACAATGACACGGGTCCCACCCCCACGCACACACTGCCCTTGGTCTCTCCTGTTTCCTTCCGATTTCTGTTTTTACTTTCTTCTTTCCTTTCTCACACTTACTCTTTTGGGCTGGGTGGGATCTGCACAACCGTAGTCCCCCTGGGCCATCATTGGCCCAGAGGCTTGGCAGATGCCTGCTGCAAAATGTCAGAATTATGCCCTTCCATCTCCTTTGCTTTTCTCCGGGTGCCAGTCCCCACCCCCCTCTTTTTCCAGATAGAGCTGGGCTGGGGAAAGGGACTTAAACCTTGGCATGCCTAACTGCCTGGCACCACACTTGTTACTTTTGCTCTTTCCTGTTTTGTTCTCTGGTCCTGATTAATGTACACTGAGTGGCATTCATCCCTGCAGCTTCTGCTTGATGTCACCCTGGGCTTGCCCTACCAATGCTTTGTTTACCATGTGCTGATTTTCAGAAGCCTCAGGGTCAAATGGGGTGTAAAACAAGAATGCTTCACAAAGTCTCTGTAAAACTGACTTAGGCTCTCATCAGCTCCCTGAAGCACTTTTGAAATCTTCCCTATATTAATTGCCTTCTTTCTATCAGCTCTTATCCCTTGCAAAAGGAACCTTTTGGTACCTCTGCAAATGCTGAAGTTGAGTTGCATCCACCAGGTCTCAGCTGGGATCTTGATCTGGGAACTGACCCTGAGCATACGCCTGAGCATTCACTGTGTCTTCTGGTGCATGGGCTTCTAGCCAGTGGAGAGCTGCCTATGTTACTCTCCTGCACTCCTCAGTGTTAAATAATGTGAGGAGGAGCTGTCTGCAGTCTGGCCTGGTTGGATTGCGTGTCAGAAAGATTCATTGCATCAAATCTATAAGAGCTTGGGGCTTCTCCATGTAGGAGGGAATGTGGCATTTCCAGTTTAAAAGATCAGTGGTTGAAAAGAGCTGGTAGCTGAAAGTTCATTGCCCCCTTGAACCTGGCCTTAGTCGTCATAATAGATGGGTACTCACATCTCCCTGAGAGGTATTTGCATAGCTCAAGCATGGCCAGATCTGAGACTGCCGCTTAACTATCTTGACTTCCTTCCCTGGCCTCTCCAGGCTCCGATTCTCCTATTGGGGTGAAACTTGGGGTGTGTTAGCTCCTGAATCTCATTCCTGGGGGGATGTTAGCCTCGGTAAAGCGGGGTAGGCTGGGACACATGGAGGAAGAATCTGTGTTCCCTCTGGCAGCTCCTGCAAAACTGGCTTCTCTTGCTGTTTCTGGGACTTTCCCTTTAACTCTGTGTCTGCCAGTGAAGCTGCTAAATAGGGCTGGATCCAGGCCAGTCTTGTCTGTGCTATATTTAACCATGAATCAATTTAAGGAAAATTTGTCTGGGTACCCTGGCTGTCCTCCAACCCCTGTCACCACCTTAAATGCACAGCCAATTATCCCTATCTATAGTTCTTTCAGTCAGCCACCCAACACCAAGAGAAGACCATTCTAATTCACAGAGAGTTCTCAATCTTTGGGGGTTTAGCTTAACGCCATAATCCCTTGCAAAACCTTTCTTAAAGTTCTATAACATGTACTCCAATGGAGTAAGTTTTGATGACTTTCCTCCCATTCCTCCCTTTATGGCACAGCACAATCACCCTTGTACACTCACTCTTCCTCTCATTTCAGCCAACTATACCATCTCCTATTATGGGAGTTTTCAGATGCTACTTGGCTTTGGAGAGATCCTTATTCTCACTACATCTCTGAGCTGTAGGGTGGCTCCTATTAGCCACATGCAGATCACCACTAGTCTTAGTTGGCCCCACACTTTCTCAGAGCACACAGTCCATGCTAAGAGATCTGTGACGCCCCACTTTGCAGCTGATGAACCTAATTAGGCCTCTCCATTCACACACTTTCACACGCTTCCCCATTCCCAGTTCCTGTGTTCATAATTGGGGTGGCAAGCCACTCTCGCCCCCTCTACTTCCCCAGTTGGGGTGGCGAGCCATTCTCACCACCTCCAGTTTCCTAGTTAAGGTAGTGAGCCACTCTCACCACCTCCAGTTTCCTACTTAGGGTAGTGAGCCACTCTCACCACCTCCAGTTTCCTAGCTGACTTAGCGAGTCCCTCTCACATCCTGTGTCGACTGGGGTGTGAGATTCGTCCAAATTGTTGAGCCACTCCTGTCACCCCCAGCCCCTCTGGGTCAGACTATTCAGCACACTCCAGGAGGTTATTAGGCTCCCCTTCCATCCCCATGGGACAGGTCCTGCCTTGGGCCCCAAAACCTTACCGCGGTTCCTGAAGCATGCTGTTTCTGAAATTGTCCTGTAGCTCCTTTCAGGTTCCATTGCACTGCTGGGTAGGGGGCGCCGGGTCAGGGGAGGGCTGATTTCCCCTCCAGGCTGAAGTTCTTCCAGTGGTGTCTGGGGTCACAGGTCTCCTGAGGCCCAGGACTCCAGCCACCAGAGCCAAAGGAGACAGTAAACCTGCTGTCTCTGGTCCCTTCGTGGTCACCAAAAATGTTGCAGGAAACGGAGGACCAGAGAGACCAATATGAGAGTGCAGGAGGATTGTTTATTTTAGGTACACACCGGCTCAGCAGACTCACATCCAAAAAGCTAAGCATTAAACAAAAACAGAGTCAGGGTTTTATAAGCAGACTTATAATAAGTAAAACAAAAGCAGTTAATCATATGATAGGTCACATAATCTATAGCATAGCATAACTTGTGGCCTTGTGTAGTTGGTGGCCTTGCAGCTGCATTGAAAGAAAAACAACAACTAACTAAATACAGACATTTGTAAAACATAATCATGCTTAAGATGCCTGGGAAAGGAGTAACAATAAAAGAATTTGTCTTTTTTTTCCTTCAACCTTGCTCTGGAGCTGGGGGGTGTCTGGAGTCCATTCCTTTGGCCTTGGCTTCTCAGAGTGTTATCTTATAACTGTGCTTGAAGTGAGCTTGCTGCACTTTCCTCTGCTAGGCAGAGGAAAACTTGTGCTTTTCTTTTTAATCCTTGCCTTGCCTGTTACTTTTAGAGTGAATGAATGCATATTTATTTTTAAATTTCTGCCTCAATGGGAGGGGGTGAGGAAAGAAGAGAACTCCTCACAGTCAGATTTATAAGACAGTGGGAGAGGCCAGATAATTATTTCTGTCTCCTCTATGAAGAGGGAGAGTGAGGTGGCAAAGGAGCAGGTTTGAGAAGACTGTCCTGGGCTGAATTGTGTCTATCTGCCAACCCCTACCCCTACTGAATTGTGTCTATCTGTCAACCCCCACCCCTGCCACCAATTCATACATTGAAGTCCTAACCCCAAGTACCTCAGAATGTGAGGTATTTGGAGGTGGGGTCTTTAAAGAGGTAATTATGGTTAAATGAGGACATTGAGGCCCTAATCCGATATAACTGATGTCCTTATAAGAAGAAGAGATTAGGATGTAAACACACATGAGGAAAAACCATGTGAAGACAAAGGGGGAAGATGGTCATCTGGAAGCCAAGGAGATAGGCCTCAGAAGAAATCAGCCCTGAAAACACACTGATCCTGAACTTCTAGCTTCCAGAACGGTGACAAAATAAATGTATGTGGTTTAAGCCACTCAGACTGTGGTACTCTGTTATGGTAACCTGCTATGGTTTGAATGTGTCTCCTAAATTTTGTTTGTTGGAACCTAAATCCCCAAATTCATATGTTGATGGCATTTGCAGGTGAGGCATTGACAGAAAATTAGGATGAGATAAAGTCATCAGGTTTTGCCTCCATTATGGGACTGGTGAGTTTATAAAGAGAAGAAAAATGCCTGAGCTGACATGCTCTTACCCCCTTGACAGGTAATGCCCTCTGTCTTGTTATGATGCAATAAGAAGGCCCTCACCAGATGTGGCCCCTCAATCGTGGACTTCCCAGCCTCCACAACTGGAATAAATAAATTTCTTTTTAAAATAAATTACTAGTCTGTGGTATTCTGTTAATAGCAACAGAAGATGGGCTAAGACAGAGCTTTAGTTGGGCCATGTGTGGTGGCTCACGCCTGTAATCCCAACACTTTTGGAGGCAGAGGTGGGCAGATCACGAGCTTAAGAGATCGAGATCATCCTGGCCAACATGGTAAAACCCTGTCTCTACTAAAAATACAAAAAAAATTAACTGGGTGTGGTGGCACATGCCTGCAGTCTCAGCTACTTGGGAGGCTGAGGCAGGAGAATGGCTTGAACCTGGGAGGCAGAGATTGCAGTGAGCTGAGATTGCAACACTGCACTCCAGCCTGGTGACACAGTGAGACTCCCTCTAAAAAAAAAAAAGAAAAGACAGAGCTTTAGCAAACTAATACAATTGGTGGTTTAAATATGTGTTGATGGGGAATGGAAGTGGTCCTGAGTAGGATCATGTGGAAAAGGGGACAAGTGATATCAAAAGTCAATTTGCATTAAAAGCCAAATTTGTTAAGTGAATTTCTACAATTTTCCACAACTTAGCTATAGAAGAAAAGACATTTGGATTGATCAGGTACAAATATTCTCCCAACAGTGGACAGTGAAAAAGAAGTGAGGAAAGCAATTAAAGAACTTACAGGACAGTAACTGAAGGGATATATTGTGCAGTCTAAGCTATATAAAGAAGGAAATAAAATGAAAGAGGGGATTTACAGATTAGGACAATAAAGAGAGGTCAGGGAACAAGAATTCTCCATAATGTTAAAGAGCTGATGTAAGAGGAAATAGAGCAGAAACCAGTGGAAAAGCAAGAATTTGTAGTCAGAGAATAGGACATATACATTTAATATTTCAAGATAGAAAGGACCTGGGTGATGACAAGTCTAAGTTACCAAGACAGTTTGAAGTGGCTGAAGTGAAGCTGAGCTGAAGCTCACTGGAACTGAGGATGTCAAGAAATAATAAGGATAAATATTAAATTAGTTGAACAAACAATTTACCCAGGATGAAGATAACACTTCAGGTAGGGATTCCATTTCAAGATGGCTGAATAGAAACAGCACCAGTCTGCAGCTCCCAGCACGATTGACACAGAAGACAGGTGATTTCTGAATTTCCAACTGAGGTACCTGGCTCATCTCACTGGGACTGGTTGCACAGTGGGTGAAGCCCACAAAGGGCAAGCCAAAACGGGGTGGGGCATTACCTTACCTGGGAGCACAAGGGGTTGGGGGACTTCCCTTTCCTAGCCAGGGGAAGCCATGACAGACTGCACCTGGAAAATCAGGACACTCCTGCCTAAATACTGCATTTTCCCAATGGTCATAGCAAACGGCACACCAGGAGATTATATCCTGCAAATAGCTCAGCAGGTCCCATGCCCGTGGAGTCTTGTTCACTGCTAGTGCAGCAGTCTGAGATTGACCTGTGAGGCAGCAGCCTGGCAGGGGGAGGGGTGTCCGCCATTGCTGAGACTTGAGTAGGTAAACAAAGCAGCCAGAGAAGCTCAAACTGGGCAGACCCCACCACAGTTCAGCAAGTCCTGTTGCCTCTGTAGATTCCACCTCTGGGAGCAGGGCATAGCTGAACAAAAGGCAGTAGAAACTTCTGCAGACTTAAATGTCCCTGTCTGACAGCTCTGAAGAGAGCAGTGGTTCTCCCAGCACTGTGTTTGAGCCCTGAGAATGGACAGACTGCATCCTCAAGTGGGTCCCTGACCCCCATGTAGCCTAACTGGGAGACACCTCCCAGTAGGGGCTGAAAGACACCTCATACAGGTGGGTGCCCCTCTGGGATGAAGCTTCAAGAGGAAGTAATATTTGCTGTTGTGCAATATTTGCTGTTCTGCAGCCTCCACTGGTGATACCCAGGAAAACAAGGTCTGGAGTGGACCTTCAGCAAACTCCAACAGACCTGCAGCTGAGGGACCTGTTAGAAGGAAAACTAACAAAGAGAAAGGAATAGCATTAACATCAACAAAAAGGACAGCCACACCAAAACACCATCTGTAGGTCACCAACGTCAAAGACCAAAGGTGGATAAAACCACAAAGATAGGGAGAAACCAGAGCAGAAAAGCTCCAAATTTTAAAACCCAGAGCAACTCTTCTCCTCCAAAGGATCACAGCTCCTTGCCAGCAATGGAACAAAGCTGGATGGAGAATGACTTTGACTAGCCAACAGAAGTAGGCTTCAGAAAGTCAGTAATAACAAATGTCTCCAAGCTAAAGGAGGATGTTCGAACTCATCGCAAGGAAGCTAAAAACCTTGAAAAAAGATTAGATGAATGGCTAACTAGAATAAATAGTGAAGACAAGACCTTAAATGACCTGATGGAGCTGAAAATCATGGCATGAGAACTACATGATTCATGCAGAAGCTTCAATAGCTGATGTGATCAAGTGGAAGAAAGGGTATCAGTGATTGAAGGTCAAATTAATGAAATAAAATGAGAAGAAAAGAGTAAAAGGAAATGAACAAAGCCTGCAAGAAATATGGGAACATGTGAAAAGATCAAATCTACATCTGATTGGTGTTCCTGAAAGTGACAGGGAGAATGGAACCAAGCTGGAAAACACTCTTCAAGATATTATCCAGGAGAACTTCCCCAACCTAGGAAGGCTGGCCAACATTCAAATTCAGGCTACACAGAGAACACCACAAAGATAATCTTCAAGAAGAACAATCCCAAGACACATAATTGTCAGATTCACCAAGGTTGAAATGAAGGAAAAAATGTTAAGGGCAACAAGAGAGAAAGGTCGGGTTACCCACAAAGGGAAGCCCACCATATTAACAGCGGATCTCTCGGCAGAAACTCTACAAGCCAGAAGAGAGTGGGGGCCAATATTCAGCATTCTTACAGAAAAGAATTTTCAACCCAGAATTTCATATACAGCCAAACTAAGCTTCATAAGTGAAGGAGAAATGAGATCCTTTACAGACAAGCAAAAGCTGAGAGATTTTGTCACCACCAGGCCTGTCTTACAAGAGCTCCTGAAGGAAACACTAAACATGAAAAGGAACAACAGGTACCAGCCACTGCGAAAACATGCCAAATTGTAAAGACCATCAATGCTAGGAAGAAACAGCATCAACTAACAAGCAAAATAACCAGCTAACATCAAAATGACAGGATCAAATTCACACATAACAATATTAACCTTAAATATAAATGGGCTAAATGTCCCAATTAAAAGACACAGACTGGCAAATTGGATAAAGAGTCAAGACCCGTCAGTTTGCTGTATTCAGGAGACCCATCTCACGTGCAGAGACACACATAGGATCAAAATAAAGGGATGGAGGATGATCTACCAAGCAAATGGAAAAAAAAAAAAAAAAAAAAAAGCAGAAGTTGCAATCCTAGTCTCTGATAAAACAGACTTTAAATCAGTAAAGATCAAAAGAGACAAAGAAGGCCATTACATAATGGTAAAGGGATAAATTCAACAAGAAGAGCTAACTGTCCTAAATATATATGCACCCAATACAGGAGCACCCAGATTCATAAAGCAAGTCCTCAGAGACCTACAAAGAGACTTAGACTCCCACACAATAATAATGGGAGACTTTAACACCCCACTGTCAATATTAGACAGATCACTGAGACAGAAGGTTAACAAGGATATCCCAGACTTGAACTCAGCTCTGCACCAAGCAAAACTAATAGACATCTACAGAATTCTCCACCCCAAATCAACAGAATATACATTCTTCTCAGCACCACATTGCACTTATTCCAAAATTGACCACATAGGTGGAAGTGAAGTACTCCTCAGCAAATGTAAAAGAATAGAAATCACAGCAAACTGTCTCTTAAGACCACATTGCAATCAAATTAGAACTCAAGATTAAGAAAATTGCTCAAAACTGCTCAACTACATGGAAACTGAACAACCTGCTCCTGAATGACTACT